AGGTGTGCATAATCCCGTTCGGTCATTACTTCATCATTCTTTTTGCCTATTTTTCAGAAACTGTACGACGAAGGGGCGAGAAATTTTTGGATTCACAACACGGGTCCTTTAGGATGCTTGGCTCAGAACGTTGCTAAATTTGGAACAGACCCATCAAAGCTTGATGAATTTGGATGCGTCAGTTCACACAACCAAGCCGCCAAACTCTTCAATCTACAGCTTCATGCTCTCTGTAAAAAACTGCAGGGCCAATATTCAGATGGCAACGTCACATACGTCGATATCTACTCGATAAAATCGAATCTCATCGCCAATTATTCACAACTCGGTTGGCCGCCTTGCTGTACTTTAGCTTCATTTTCTGTCAATCCTGTAACATCTGATGACTTGCTGCATTTTGACATGGCAGGTTTTGAGCAACCTATTATGGCTTGTTGTGGCTATGGAGGTCCACCGCTCAATTACGACAGTCGAATCGTGTGCGGACACACGAAGATGTTAAACGGGACGTTGGTGACGGCGAAAGGATGCGACGATAGCTCGGAGTACATCAATTGGGACGGAATTCATTATACAGAAGCTGCAAATCAGTATGTTTCATCACAAATACTCACCGGAAAATATTCTGATCCACCCTTCTCAGAAAAAATGCCATTCCTTCTCAAACTCAAGTTCTAGTTGGCCTTACTTACACATGCATACATCTCACAACTGATAACTCATTTATATGTCTAAATGGAAGCATTCATGTGGAATTTAGAACTATGATATGATATTAAGCGCTTTAAATGAAAAGGCCGAAACAGACACAGATGTGATACCATGAAGATTTTTCATAATAAAGCACGACGATAATGAATTAACCGAGCATAATAATATTTCATACAAATCATGTGAAGTCCCACCTCAGTTGGAGATGGGAACGAAACTTTCCTTATAAGAGTGTGAAAACCTCTTTTTAGTACATGTATTTTAAAACCTTGAGAAAGTTCGGAAGGAAAAGTCTAAAGAAGACAAAATCTACTAATGGTGGGTTCGAGTCATTATAAATTCAAAGATAGCATTATGTATGGCGGAAGTTGCTAAGACGAGAACCATGGTTAGAGATAACTACAACCTAATCCATCTTGTTTCTTCATTTCTTGAGTCTATCATGCAACACGAGTCAATTACTTGCTACTTAATCCAATTATTCAGGATTATAATTATAAATTAATAAAAATAGTTGTTGTATTTTTGTCTAAAATTACTTTACGTTATTTCAATAATACTCTTAAACTTTAAAAGAAAAAAAAAATACTCTTTTTCAGATGAAAAAGGGTTAGTATTCTATTTTAAAGATTCGCTTAAATTTTAAAAAAATTTATTAACACCCTTCAACTTAACAATAAAAAATTATATATTTATCATAAAAAATACTCATCCTTTTTAAAGTAACATTAATAATTTATGAAGGGTCAATAGACAATTTTCGTCTATAGACGCCGACACAAATATTTTTTTTATAAAGGTATAAAATGTTAATGCTACCTTTACAATTTTATAAAAAATATTTCTGAATTTGTTAAAAAAAAATTGAAGGATATTAATAAAACTTTTTAAAGTTAAAAGGATCGCAAGGGTATTCTTGACATTTTAAAAAATTTAAGAGTATTTTTGAGAACGAGATATTTTTATTAATTCCACTCTAATTAAACCATATTTAAGCTTAAAAACATTTATAGTAAGCCATACGTCAAAGTCAAATTAAAAGAAAAAAATATTGAGACTGAGTCAAAGACTCAGCACTTCCCTTCTTATATATGGACTCATCTTCCCATATTGCTTCACATTCAATGGCTTCTTCTTCTTCTTTCCCTGTTCTTCTTCTTCATCTTCTTCTTCTTCTTCTGCCATCCTTTTCCATTTCTCAGCCCCACAAAAACATAACTCTGGGTTCATCTCTCACTGCAAATCCACGCACCAGAACCAACAATGGCGATTACTGGTCCTCTCCCTCCGGCCACTTCGCTTTTGGCTTCTTACAGTTCGGAAACCATGGCTTTCTCTTAGCCATTTGGTTCAACAAAATCCCAGAAAGAACTGTGGTCTGGTCGGCCAATCGAAACGAACTGGTGCCCCACGGATCCACCGTCCAACTCACCTCTCCTGGTCAGCTCCTGCTCAAGAACTCAAGAACAGGCAACCAAGTATGGAGTGCAAATTCACCAAGTGATAATCGAACACTAGTTTCTTATGCTGCCATGCTCGATACTGGAAACTTCGTCCTCGCTTCCAATGATTCCCAAATTTTGTGGCAATCCTTTGACGAACCCACTGATACCATTTTACCATCGCAGATTATGAACCAGAAATCGCTCATTGCGAGTCAATCAGCCACAAATTTCTCAGAGGGGAGATTTCAATTTTCTATGCAATCTGATGGGAATCTCGTGCTTAACACAAGAATTGCCCCTTTGGGTGCTCTTGGGACGGCTTATTGGGCAAGTGACACTGTAAATTCTGGGTTCCAGCTTGTTTTTAATCTATCTGGCTCTGTTTATATCTCTGCAAAAAATGGAACTATTATAAGCAATTTAACCTCCTCCAGTTCTTATTCAAATGAAGGTTTCTACCATCGAGCCATTCTGGATTACGATGGAGTTTTCAGCCAATATGTGTATCCAAAGAGCGAGAACGCTACTCCTGAGGGTAAGTCTTGGATTAGTCTCTCAGATTTCATTCCTTCAAATATCTGTGATAGAATAGTTGGTGGGTTAGGAAGTGGAGTATGTGGGTATAATAGCTATTGTGAAACTGACGAAAATCATAGACCATGTTGCAAATGCCCACAAGGGTATCGAAGGGTTGATCCAAAAGATGAAATGAAAGGCTGCAGTCCAAATTTTGTTCCTCAAACATGCGAGGATTCTGATCTTGAAGCTAATAAATTCGATTTCTCTGTCATTGATAACGCAGATTGGCCTAAAATTGATTATATGGGATACTCAGGGGAAGATGAGGATTGGTGTAGAACAGCTTGTTTGAATGATTGTTTTTGTGCTGCTGTGATTTCTGAATCAGGGAATTGTTGGATGAAGAAGTTTCCTCTTTCATTTGGAAGAGTTAACCGTGATTACAACGGTAAATCTTTGATCAAATATAGGAAGGATAACTCTAGTTTGATAGCTACTGATCTTGTCATGAAATACAAGGACAAAACATTTGTGGTTATTGGATTAGCTCTTATTGGTGGCTCAGGTTGTCTGATTTTCATGTTCTTGCTGGTTAGTTTTCCGATTGTTTGTCGAAAGAGTAAGAACGGATATCGATCCTTGGTTATTTCCGGAAAGCTACCAGTTCTTGGTATGAACCTGAGAAGTTTTAGCTATGAAGAGCTAAACAAGGCCACAAATGGGTTCAAGGAGAAGCTGGGAAGTGGTGCTTTTGCTACTGTTTATAAAGGGATTGTTGACTCCATGGACAACGGCTTGGTAGCTGTTAAGCTATTGGATAATACAGTGAAAGAAGCAGACCAAGAATTCAAAGCTGAGGTCGGTGCTATAGCTCGAACGAACCACAAGAATTTGGTTCGATTGCTCGGTTTCTGTAATGAACAGCTACACAGACTGCTAGTTTATGAGTTCATGCCTAATGGGTCTCTAGCAGATTTTCTATATGGACCCCCTTCAAACTGGAACAAGAGAATTCATCTGGCTATAGGAACTGCTAGAGGGCTTAATTATTTACATGAAGAGTGCAAAACTCAGATTATTCACTGTGATATTAAGCCTCAAAACATCCTTATTGATGACACTTTTTCTGCAAGAATTGCAGACTTTGGTTTAGCCAAACTCTTGAAGAAAGACCAGACTCGAACCGTGACTGCCATTAGAGGAACGAAAGGGTATGTGGCTCCAGAATGGTTCAGGAACCTCCCGATTACCGTGAAGGTAGATGTTTATAGCTTTGGAATTGTGCTGTTGGAGATCGTTTGTTGTAGAAGAAGCTTTGAAATGAAAGCGGAGGCTGAGGATGAAATGGTGTTGGCTGATTGGGCCTATGATTGCTTGATATCAAGGAAAGTTGAAAGGTTAGTAAGAAAAGATGAGGAAGCTAAGAAGGATATGAAAATGGTGGAGAAATTGGTTACCGTTGCCATTTGGTGCATTCAAGAGGAGCCATCTTTTAGGCCATCCATGAAGAAAGTCCTACAGATGCTTGAAGGTGTTGTTGAAGTTCCAGCTCCTCCTCATCCATCTTCATTCATCACCACAATTTAGTAACCATCGAGATCCATTCTCGAGCTATCTCTCGAGTGTCATTTCAGTGATTTTGTCTATTTTCCGTTGCTTGTTGTACTTCTGACACTTTGCTCGAGAGTATACATTTTAATCTAACCTAGTTGCTGTATTTTTGTTGGAATTGTTAGGTCATTATTCTGTATCATAGTTAGAAACCGAGTCAAAGTAGGTTAAGCCGTACAAAACGTGATCAATGATTGACATCCAGATCGATGTTGAATGCATGAACATATAAAAATATCGACAAGTTTACGAAAATTTATAACTTAATCTAAGGGTAAAGGCATGCATCATTGACCAGAAATTCCAAGTCCCATTCAACCAAACTACTAATTTCCAAGTGCCCTTACTTTTCAGCTATTCCAAGTCTTTCAAAGTGGTTGAGAAGTGAATTTCTAGGAACTTGAGGGCAAGAAAACGTTACCTTCAATGATTACGAACGTGGAGTTAGTAGGTTTGAACAGTCAATAATGGTTAAGCTATGTTCACCTTAGCTACTTAGCTATTTACCCTCGAACGTTAAAATCTATGAAGTTGTTTGGCTTGTAGATTCAAAATCAGAACTGTTGTGATATATTTGATTCGAATCTCAAATAAGTGTTATTACCGGTTGATATTTAATCAACAAGGTAATTCGAATTTTATTTTTCCTTGGAGTGATTCAAATATATCACTTTGGCCCGTTACGTATCATTGTTAGCCTTATGGTTTTAAAACGCGTATGTTAAGGAGAGGTTTCCTCACCCTTATAAGAAATGCTTCGTTCCCCTCTCCAATTGATATGAGATCTCACAATCCACCATCCATCCCCCTTGGGGGTCCTGCATTCTCGCTAGCACACCGTCTGGTGTTTGACTCTGATACCATTTGTAACAGCCCACCCCCACATCTAGCAGATATTGTTCCCTTTGGCCCATTACGAATCGCCGTCAGCCACACGATTTTAAAACACGTCTATTAGGGAGAAGTTTCCACACGCTTATAAGGAATGCTTCGTTTCCCTCTTAACCGATGCGGGATCTCATATAATATAACTTGACTTTATCCTATGGTAATAAGAACAACATTTTTCACTACTTCCTTCAAGTGCATATTCAAGTGCATATTGTGAATGATTGAGATGTCTTACGTGATACCATATCACGTAGTTTGGGTTACAAATTCAAAAATTCAAACCTTGTGGGAATTTGTATAAGGGGTTACAAAGCCTGAGATTCAATAAACAATGTTTGGAGGTTCAGGGTTGGAAAGCTTAAAAATTAAACTAGAAACATGTATGGTTAGGATATTAAACAACTTACACACTCGATCTAAGAACAAAATAGAAAAAATTAGATGACTTCAATAGCTACAGATAAGATAATCAATCTTAAAGAAAATAAATAGTTAAAAGGGTTTTCTTTTTTCTTTTTATTGTTGGTCGACCAAAATATAACATTTCAACATTATTAATTTAGCATTTATTTATTTATGACTATGACAGAGTCAAAAGGAAAAGTCTCATAGGAAGAAATTTTGTCCAAAATCAAGTCTTCTCCTGACTTGCTCAACTTTCTAATGGCAAACGTTAAACCCTTCAGAAATCTGCAAATTTAGGCCGATTTCATCTTCTTCTACAAACCCACAATCTTTGATTTATGGCTTCTGTTCAGAAATCGTCTTATTTCGTCCTTCTTCTTCTTCTTCTGGGTTTCCCATCCTTTTCAAATTCTCAGCCATATAAGAACATAACTCAAGATTCATCTCTCACTGCACAGAACAATAACAATGATTCCTACTGGCCCTCACAATCTGGTGATTTCGCATTCGGGTTTCTTCAATTTGGAAGCAATGGCTTTTTGTTGGCCATTTGGTTCAACAAAATCCCAGAAAAAACTGTTGTCTGGTCGGCCAATCGCGACGATTTGGTGCCTGGAGGATCTAAAGTTCAGCTTACAAATCGTGGCCAGTTCGTGCTCAATGACCCTGAAGGCAGACCAATCAGGAGTGCAAGTTTAGGTGACAATGTCGGGTCAGTTTCTTATGCTGCTATGCTTGATTCTGGCAATTTCATTCTAGCTGGGAGTGATTCCCAAGTGTTGTGGCAAAGCTTCGATTATTCTACTGATACAATATTACCAACCCAGATCATGAAATCATCTCTTATTTCTTCTTATTCTGAAACGAATTACTCCGAAGGAAGATTTACATTCTCAATGAAAACTGATGGAAATCTTGTCTCATCTTACCTCAAAACCATCCCTCTGCGTGAAAGTGCCACATTATATTGGGAAAGTGAAACAAAAGGCTCTGGGTTTCAGCTGGTTTTCAACCTCTCTGGCTCCATTTATATCTCTGAAGGAAATGGAAGCAGTGTTGTAAAAGTTTTGACGAACAATACTCCTTCAACTAAGGATTTCTACCATCGAGCCCTTTTGGAATATGATGGAGTTTTCAGGCAATATGTGTATCCAAAGAATGGTAATGATACCAGTCCTTCTCCTTGGCGTAAGGCTTGGAGTCAGGTATCAAATTCCATACCTTCTAATATTTGTGTGGCAATAAACGATGGCTTAGGATCTGGAGCTTGTGGGTTCAATAGCTATTGTAGTTTAGGTGATAATCAGAGACCAGTTTGCAGTTGTCCTCATGGCTATGAAAGGGTTGATCCAAATGATGAGGCCAAAGGCTGCAAACCAAGTTTCGTTCCTCAAAGTTGCGGCGACAATTCGTCGTCGGACTTCGAGTTCGTTTCCATAGAATACTCAGATTGGCCTTCTTCTGATTATGAGGCTTTCTATGAGGTTAATGAGGATTGGTGTAGAAGAGTTTGCTTGGAGGATTGTTTCTGTGCTGCTGCTGTTTTCAGTGGAAAAAAATGTTGGAAGAAGAGATTTCCTCTTTCATTTGGAAGAGTTGATCTTGGATTTCCAGGTAAAGCTCTGATTAAAGTTAGGAAACATAACTCCACTTTCAAACTTGATCATCCAATCAAGAAAGTTGTGAAGGACAAAACTTTAATAGTTATTGGGTCAATTCTCTTAGGGGCTTTTGGGTTTCTGTTTGCCACTTTCTTTATTGCTTACCAATTCAATATAAAGAGAAGAAAGCTTGGTATGGTGGAAATGCCACCAGTTATGGGCTTGAACCTACGCATTTTCAGCTATGAAGAGCTCAACAAGGCCACGGCTGGTTTCAAAGAACAGCTGGGAAGTGGCGCTTTCGCTACTGTTTATAAAGGGATTGTTGATGATTGTGTGGATAATAATAACTTGGTAGCTGTTAAGAAGCTGAACAATGTAGTACAAGAGGGAGAGCAGGAGTTTAAAGCTGAAGTTAGAGCTATTGCTGGAACAAACCACAAGAATTTGGTTCAATTACTTGGGTTTTGCAATGAAGAGTCACATAGAATGTTGGTGTATGAATACATGAAAAATGGGTCCCTTGCAGATTTCCTTTTTGGGTCTTCAAAACCAAATTGGTATCAAAGGATTCAAGTCGTTTTAGGAACTGCTAGAGGGCTATGCTATCTACACGAAGAGTGTGATACTCAAATCATTCATTGTGATATTAAGCCTCAGAACATCCTTTTGGATGACTCGTTGGCTGCTCGGATTTCAGACTTTGGATTAGCCAAACTCTTGAACAAAAACCAAACCCGAACGATGACAGCGATTAGAGGAACGAAAGGGTATGTAGCTCCTGAGTGGTTTAGAAGTCTTCCCATTACAACGAAGGTTGATGTTTATAGCTTTGGCATTCTGCTGCTGGAGATTGTTTGTTGCAGGAAGAGTTTTGAAGCAGAGGCTGAGAAGGAAGATGAAATGGTGTTGGCAGATTGGGCTTATGATTGCTTCAAAGAGAGGAAAGTGGAGTTGCTCGTGAAGAACGATGAGGAAGCAAAGGAGGACATGAAGAAGGTGGAGAGGTTTGTAATGATAGCGATTTGGTGCATTCAAGAGGAGCCATCTTTCAGACCAACCATGAAGAAAGTCATACAAATGCTTGAAGGTGCTATCCAAGTTTCCACTCCGCCTGACCCATCTTCATTTATCACTTCAATTATGTAACATATTTGTCTTTCAATCCAACCACGTTTCAAACTTTTGACGTCCAAGTTGAGGAAGGGTATATATCTTAATGAATTGTACCGAGTTTCGAACTTTTGACGTCCCGAAAGGGTATATATCTGTGAGAACCCACATCAGTTGGAGAGGGGAACGAAACATTCCTTACAAGGGTGTGAAAACCTCTCCCTAGTAGACGCGTTTTAAAAACCGTGAGGCTAACATCAATAAGTAACAGGTCAAAGCGGACAATATCTGCTAGCAATGGGTTTGAGTTGTTACAAATGATATCAGAGCCAGATATCGAGCGATGTGCCAGCAAGAACATTAGCCCGCTAAAGGGTTGTGTGGATTGTGAGATCCCACATCGATTGGATTGGGGAATGAAGCATTGTTTACAAGAGTATAGAAACCTCTCCCTAGCAAACGCATTTTAAAAACCTTGAGGGAAGCCCGGAGGGAAAAAACCCAAAGAGGACAATATCTACTAGCGATGGGGTTGGATCGTTTCAGTACCTAAATGCTTCTAACAAAAATGATTGTTTAGAACTAAAGCCATCATCAGCCACCAATAAATCATATAAAAACTAGCTTCCAAAACACTCAGAATCAAGTAGGTAAAAGCACATCTAAACAAAATCATCATTAAGCCAAGATAACTTAGAAAGAAACCATTGAGTCTAACCTGAACTCCACTCTCAAATTCAGATAAAATTGCAGGTATTGAGGCAAGAATTTGGTCCAAAGTTTTGGAATAAAATGCACCAGCAATATCATTCTGCCCAATATCAAACATGTAAAGCCCCTTCTGGAAGTAATCATCAGCTGGTAGGTACTTATCAAGTTTCTTACCACCTAAAGAAACCAACAGAAATGATCACAAAATAGTGAAAATGGTTTTATGTTCTTGAGATCATTCACAATCTATCATACCTTTGCCTGTTCGAAGCTCAAGAACTCTAGCTTTGAAATGGAGAAACTGATTCACCTGAACCCCAAATGAAAAAGGGCAAAAAGATGTAGCTGTTGCGGGAAGAATAGTCGAGCCTGCAGCGGCATAATTGCACCCCTTACGAAAATTTGGTGCGTCAAGGGAATCAAGATTCGCATTCAAATAAGGCATATCCATCGCATCCACTGCAAAAACATTGCAAACCAACGAGAATCTAAGCATCAAACAAGAGAGAAAACAAGGGAAATGCGAGATTACAGAGTCGAAATCTGAAAACCCTAATCGCAGAAAAGAAAATCAATTAAATATCACAACTTAATTAAATATTTAAAAATAAGAACTAATACTTTAATTTTATTAAAAAAAAATTGAATAAACAAAATAAACCTGAACCAACCTAACCATAAAAAGTTTATGATTGAGATGAGTTGGATTGGATTCATTACTTAAAAAATTTACAACTCGAACAATTAGGTTAGATCTAAAAAAATTGTCTCGCCCCGACCCAACCCAACCCACGAATACCCTTAAGAAATACCAGCATTTTTGTAGGGTGTCTCACTTACGTATTTCATACTCGACCAGAAATCATATTCACAATCAACTTGTTTAGTCAATTTATGCATAGTTAGATGGATTCTCGAGAAAGATAATATATTAAAAGTATAAATTACTACTTCAGCATATTGTACTAAAAAACCCGTCTATATTCTAAATTTTTTTCCTAATGATCTAAACAATCTCAAAATCTCGATTTTTCTCTAACTCAAATAAGTAGGCTCATTTTGTCGTTCTAGTCGATGTTTAGTTTGGTCACTAACTATGAGTCACCAAGCAATGTGCTATTGAGGACGCTAGGTCCCTGTAGGGTGGATTGTGAGATCCCACATCGGTTGAAGAAAATCTCAATTTTTCTCTAACCCATATAAGTAGGCTCATTTTATCGTACTGGCCGACATTTAGTTTGGTCACAGACTAACTGTGAGTCACCAGACAGTGTCCTAATGAGGACGCTAGGTCCTTGTACGGTGAATTATGAGATCCCACATCGGTTGAAGAAAATCTCAATTTTTCTCTAACCCATATAAGTAGGCTCATTTTATCGTACTGGCCGACATTTAGTTTGGTCACAGACTAATTGTGAGTCACCAGACAGTGTCCTAATGAGGACGCTAGGTCCCTGTAGGGTGGATTGTGAGATCCCACATCGGTTGAAGAAAATCTCAATTTTTCTCTAACCCATATAAGTAGGCTCATTTTATCGTACTGGCCGACATTTAGTTTGGTCACAGACTAACTGTGAGTCACCAGACAGTGTCCTAATGAGGACGCTAGGTCCTTGTACGGTGAATTATGAGATCCCACATCGGTTGAAGAAAATCTCAATTTTTCTCTAACCCATATAAGTAGGCTCATTTTATCGTACTGGCCGACATTTAGTTTGGTCACAGACTAACTGTGAGTCACCAGACAGTGTCCTAATGAGGACGCTAGGTCCCTGTACGGTGAATTGTGAGATCTCACATTGGTTGAAGAGGGGAACAAAACATTTTTATAATCTTGAGACCCGTTTTAAAACCTTGAACGAAAGTCCAAATAGAACCATATCTCCTGGTCGTGGGCTCGAGCTCTTACCCTAAAAACGACATAGAAACTAAATCTAAAACGTCGGAATTCCTTTATTTATTATTTTTTTAATTAAATAAACTAAAATACTTAACAAGAGTATTATTTAATTTAATGCAATTGCAACAAATTGCATTTTCTTGTCTCAAGCTCTCACAAACTCAAAAGGAAACGCTGAGCCATCCAAAGCCAACAGCCTCAAGCCTTTCTCAATCAAAATTCCAGCTCTTCCACACCTTGGCCTCCCTCTAATAGGGACATCCGAGGGACACCATCCTATATTATAAACGCCAAAGTTGTCCCTATCGATCCTAAAGTACCCGGTGGCAGTGTCGTCGTCCCCGGTCTCAACAAACCTCCTTCCAGTGGTAGGATCTGTCTCCCCGACTCTCCATGCAGTCGACGTTATGCAGATCGAGAACGCTTGAAACACGACCTTCAAATCCCTCCCTTCTCTGATCGTATCTTCACCCGGTAGGTAGGGCGTAAAGGTGACCCCGAAACCTATGGTTAAGAATTCGTAACATAATCAAGAGTTTTCTAATGGTATCACTAATCAAAAGTTTTTGAGTTCGATTGTGATGTAATAATACCTATTTCTTGTGAACGAAGTGGCACTTGGCCAACATGAAATGGGCACTGATCGCCTTTGCGGGTTAATAGGGTGAGATTTCCAGCGACATCAGTGACAGCAGGCTTGATGAAGTACTCGACGTTGATCTGTAAAGGTCGGCCCTCGGTGTCGAGCACGGGAGGACTTTGAGCGATAGAGGACACGGCCATGACGAGGCATAGGTAGCTAAAGGCAACAAGTGACTTACACAACATCATTAATTTGTTCGAAAAATTATGGGTTATGGGATGCAAATGTGTAGTGACATTTATAGCCAATTTGAAGAAGATATCCATTTTGTAGCTTATCTTATTTTATCAATTACTTGTACCTTAAGGCACTTATTTCTTAAGAATATATAATATAATGCATACCATCACAAGGGAAGAAATTTTTAGGAAATATTTGACTAAAAAGTAGTGAGATTTCGAAGTTTTGGACGAGAAAGTCAAGAGGTAGGGATGAACTGAGACGTTACTAAATTTGAAACGTTCGATAGTTGAGCTGTGGAAGTTATGGCAATGAAGAGGCAGAGGTACTTGACGACATCATCGGTCTTATTCTTCAAGTAGAGGTTTACTTTGTCTATAAAAAGATGGTTTAAGACTGTAACTATGAGATCCCACGTCGATTTGAGAGAGGAACGAGTGTCAGCGTGGACGCTGGGTCTCGAAGGGGGGTGGACTGTGAGATCCTACATTGACTCGAGAGTAGAACGAGTGTCAGTGAGGTTGCTGGGCTCTAAACAGGCTGGATTTTGAGATCCCACATTGGTTGGAGAGGGGAGCGAAACATTCTTTATAAAGGTGTGGAAACCTCTTCCACGCGTTTTAAAAACTTTGAGGGAAAGCCCGAAAGGGAAAGCTCAAAGAGGACAAGTATCTACTAGCGGTGAGCTTGAGCTATTACAGTAGCCGTGTGCCACCTGCAGCGGTAGCTACATAAGAACTCCAAAATTAAACAAACGTGTTTTGCTTAGAGTAATTTTATATTGAGTGACCTCCTAAACAATTTTTTACTCATAAAAACAATAAGTAGGTGACGTGATCAAGCCGCAAGAAAATATTAGTGCCATCAGGTGCCAAAATTGGATTCTAAATCCCGATCCAATCCTGGACATACGGTATGACCAATTGTGTGTTGCTCTATTTAAAGATAGCTCGTAAGAGATGAAAATGACACAAAACTATAATATCAAAAGCTAGACGAGAAAATCGAGAGTTTATGGGATGACACAATCTCCGAAGAAACCATCCGATTAGGGTTAGTTCGACTCGTGTTTATCTCAATGTCTTATTCTTTACTTTTTCGTGTAAGTTCATAAATTTCAGAAGACGTGGAACATGTTTGAAGCGGGTTAATAAAAATTAAAAAATTAATTGACCTGTTTAACCTGTTTTTTCTCGTGATTTCAATAGATGAAGATACAACTTTTAATGATTAAACGTTTCATATTTTTTTCATTCATCGGGTTTCTGATATATGTTTAAATTTATACGATATTGGATAAAAAAACGTCTTTAAATTTATACGATATTGGATAAAAAACGTCTTTAAGTTGGCAAAGAAGATTTTGATTGTTCTAAAACAAAGTTGAAGTCAAGGATTATGTTAGGTGAAATGTAAGTGTTTGGTCTACAATTCAATGTCCCATTTTTTCTTCACATAAATTATTTACGCTAAATTAATAAAAGTTTTAATAATATCATTAAATTTTTTAAAGAAAATTTCAAAAATATCTTCACGAACTAACATGTAACGGCCCAAACCCACCGCTAGCAGATATAGATATTGTCCCTTCGTTTTCAGTGGTTAGCAGAATTTTTCTAGAATGCATGTGAGTGAGAACAAAGCAGGCTAGAATGACTCGTGTTGCAAGGAGTAGGTAGCGTGATCATGTCGCGGTCATTAGGTGTCGAATCCAGATTCTAAATTCTGGGTATGACTCGTGTAACGGCCCAGACCCACCGCTAGCAGATATTGTCCCTTCGTTTCAGTGGTTAGCATAATTTTTCTAGAATGCATGTGAGTGAGAAAAAGTAGGCTAGAAGGACTCGTGTTGCAAGGAGTAAGTAGCGTGATCATGTCGCGGTCATTAGGTGTCGAATCCAGATTCTAAATTCTGGGTATGATTCGTGTAACGGCCCAGACCCACCGCTAGCAGATATTGTCCCTTCGTTTCAATGGTTAGCATAATTTTTCTAGAATGCATGTGAGTGAGAACAAAGCAGGCTAGAAGGACTCGTGTTGCAAGGAGTAGGTAGCGTGATCATGTCGCGGTCATTAGGTGTCGAATCCAGATTCTAAATTCTGGGTATGATTCGTGTAACGGCCCAGACCCACCGCTAGCAGATATTGTCCCTTCGTTTCAGTGGTTAGCATAATTTTTCTAGAATGCATGTGAGTGAGAAAAAGTAGGCTAGAAGGACTCGTGTTGCAAGGAGTAGGTAGCGTGATCATGTCGCGGTCATTAGGTGTCGAATCCAGATTCTAAATTCTGGGTATGATTCGTGTAACGGCCCAGACCCACCGCTAGCAGATATTGTCCCTTCGTTTCAGTGGTTAGCATAATTTTTCTAGAATGCATGTGAGTGAGAAAAAGTAGGCTAGAAGGACTCATGTTGCAAGGAGTAGGTAGCGCGATCATGTCGGGGTCATTAGGTGTCGAATCCAGATTCTAAATTCTGGGTATGATTCGTGTAACGGCCCAGACCCACCGCTAGCAGATATTGTCCCTTCGTTTCAGTGGTTAGCATAATTTTTCTAGAATGCATGTGAGTGAGAAAAAGTAGGCTAGAAGGACTCGTGTTGCAAGGAGTAAGTAGCGCGATCATGTCGGGGTCATTAGGTGTCGAATCCAGATTCTAAATTCTGGGTATGATTCGTGTAACGGCCCAGACCCACCGCTAGCAGATATTGTCCCTTCGTTTCAGTGGTTAGCATAATTTTTCTAGAATGCATGTGAGTGAGAAAAAGTAGGCTAGAAGGACTCGTGTTGCAAGGAGTAAGTAGCGTGATCATGTC